CAGAGGCTGATTAAAGAGCAGTAGGTGATTTACCCTCATTTTCTTACCAAGGTTGCAACGAACCTTGAAAAGAAATCCTCATCCTTATATAAAAGCTGTAGAATTCTGGAGCAGAAGGACAGTGAGGTGGATCTGGACAGCAGAGCTCAGAGTGTTGTGATTATTCTAGCTGGGGGCTTGTAGTTAGCAGAGTCCCCCAGGGGTCAATACTGGATCCAGTATTGTTTAATTTTTTCATTAATGCCCTGGGTGAAGGAACCAAAGCAGCATCTTATCACAGACCTTTTCTACTAACCAGTGTAGCAGAAGCAGCTATTTCAAGGTTGCGTGTCCTTCAGGTCAAGTCAGTGCATGAATTAATTGCATGAATTGGAGATCTCGTAACAGCGAAAAGGTAAACTGCAGTGGCACAAACTCCCGTGTCCTGGGTTGAAGGCAATTCACATAGCCCTAATAGGCCCCATAAACAAAAACCGATTAGATGGCACATCAGAAGCTCTCACGAATCACCAGATAAGGCTGATAAAGCTTATTGCTGTGCCGCTGTAATAGAAGTGCTTTTATCATTTGGACCCTGGCAAGTGGCAAGAGTTTATCTGTGCCCTGCTCAGCACGTTGTTCCTGTGAGGCTGCTGCTTTCCTACTCGCTCTCAAATCACTCCAGGCCTGACTCTCACGAGCCCTTTACCACAAACCAGCAGCTGCTGATGGTGCTGCTCTGCGGCAGTCGGAGCAAAACAGTTGGCCCTGCAGCCACACCGTCACTGGGGCATCACCAATGTCTAAGAGAAGAGCCTGCCTTATGCACTGGCCACGTTGACCGCCGCGCATTCTAGTCCAGGTCTTCGACAGTCACAGGTCCCATGGAGGCATCCATCAGTTGCGCTTTTACAGGATCTGCTGCTCCTCCCCTGATACTGGATACATCATTTTTATCATGCCTAATTATTCATTAATCTTGTCACGCTAGGCACCATTCTAGGAAAACTTCTTTCACATGTGGCTTTGGCCAAGGGTTTCACAGAGATTAGTGCACTCTCCCCCCTTCCAGTAAGTACACTTCTGCCTGGTCTTGAAGCTCCCTTGCTTGAGAGCTTCTTTTCCTACCCTTTTCTCTCCCCATACACACACTCTATCATCAAGGCCTTCAGGAAGGCGGGGAGGCTTTCCTGATACCAGAAATCAAACACCACAAGCTGAATAGCAGTGTGGATTTGACACTGCTCCGGCCCACGCAAAAGCTTCAGCCTGCCCAAAGCTATCATAGAATCATATAATGGTTAAGACTGGAAGGGACCTACAGAGCTCCCTTCCACACGCAGGGTCACCTAGAGCACATGGCACAGGACTGCGTCCAAGCGGGTTTTGAAGATCTCCAGAGAAGGAGACTCCACAACCTCTCTGGACAGCCTGTTCCAGTGCTCTGTCACCCTCACTGTTAAGAATTTTTTCCTTAAGTTCCTGTGGAACTTTGGGTGTTTCAGTTTCCGGCCGTTTCCTCTAGTTCTGTCAGTGGCCACCAGTGAAAAGAGGCCAGCACCATCCTCATCACTGCCTCCCTTGAGGTACTTATAGACACTGATCAGGTCCCCTCTCAGCCTTCTCTTCTCCAGGCTGAACAGGGCCAGATCTCTCAGTCTTTTCTCACAGGGCAGATGTTCCAGGCCTCTAATCATCCTTGTAGCCCTATGCTAGACTGTCTCCAGCAGCTCCACATCCCTCTTGTACTGTGGGGCCCAGAACTGGACACAATACTCCAGATGTGCCTCATGGTCAACTTGTCGTCCACCATGACACCCAGGTCCCTCTCTGCAGAACTGCTCTCCAGAGGTCAGTCCCCAGCCTGTACTGGTGTCTGGGGTTATTTCTCCCCAGAAATGGAGTCCCATCCAGAGCCACACTTGCCTCTTTGGTGGACCACTCTTGACTGATCATCCAATAGAAACAGATAGGAGGTATCTGGTGCATCCAAAACTCAATCTTCAGAATCATGGTACAGCACATACAAAAATAGCTTAGAAAGTCAGTCTTCCCCATCTTCTGGTAACCATAGGGCAGCAGAAGCATGGAGGTCCTATTGGCTGATACCACAGGCAAGCATTAGTAGCTTCTTTTTAAAAGTAGCTTTTTTTAAGGACTTTTTAAAAGTAGTTTGGCCCAGAACCACCACCTACCCAAGCTATGAACTCTTTTAGCCTCTCTTGAGCAAGGACTGCAAGTTCTGCTGCATCATCAACTAGGTAGAAAGGTGTTTGGTTAATATGTAATCCAAACTCTAGTGACCCCCACTGTTTTGAATGCTTGATCCTCACATTTTCCAACACACTATATGACCTTCAGGAACCCTTCTTAGCAAAGGCTTCAGAAAGAAAGTTGTGGAATTGGGTCTTTCATGTCAACAGCACAACAGCAGTTTTCCTGAGGGTTACACTTCTTAAAATAAATTCTCTGGAGAAGCTTAGTGTCAGTGAAAGTTGGGCACTCCTGACTTGAAGCTGACACAGTACAACCAAGTTCACAACAACTCACTTCAAATCACCCTGACCCAGAAAAATCCCTTTACACACAGCTCCTGCCTCTAATCTAAGAGCCTGCTAATTATGCTGCACCACAGAAGATAGAGTGAAATAGTTGGTTCTGGAACTCCCTTGATAGCCTTCTTATCAAGGCTTTTAGCCTAGTTTAAAATGTGATCTCTGAACTGCAATAAGCTGTCTTATCAAATATTCTGTAGAGGTAAAGGTTAAAGAATGTGAAGCTATAAATGGGGAACTACTTGTTGCTTTCGTATACTGCTTGGAAAAGCTAGGAAGGAGCAGTTTGTTTTTTCCCTTCTTCCGTTCCTTTCTTGTCAACAGCTTCATGAGAGTTATGTGGAGGTACCAGATAAGTGCTGGCTTTGTTCTTCTTCTGTCTTTCTGGAGTCTGGCTGAAGCTGGGAAGCTCTTGGTTGTGCCTCAGGATGGAAGTCACTGGCTGAGCATGCGTGTGGTCGCGGAGAAACTCTGGGAAAGGGGACATGATATCGTTGCAGTAATTCCAGAAGCCTCTTTGCTCATGAAAAGCTCAGAAAATTTCACCATCAAAACATACTCTGTTCCTTACTCGCAGGAATCTTTGGATAGACATTACAATTCCATTGGTAAAGACTCCTTTCTTAACCTTCCCCTTCTAGGAAAACTTACAATTTTATTCAAAAATATGTCGAAAGTGACGACCATGTTCTCTTCTACCTGTCGGCATCTTTTTCATGATGAAGAGCTAATGAAATACCTCCGGGATAGCAACTTTGATGCCATTTTGATGGATCCTGTGTTGCCCTGTGGACCAATCGTTGCTGAATTTCTCTCTCTCCCTTCAGTGTACTTCATGCGTGGTCTTCCCTGTGGCTTAGACTACAGCGCTGCCCAGTGTCCCAATCCTCCTTCGTACGTGCCGAAATTTTTCTCACACAGTTCAGACCATATGACATTTAGAGAGCGTGTGAATAACTTCCTGATTGGTTTTCTGGAGATTATACCTTGCTATCTGCTCTATTACAAATATGAGAACTTGGCACGTGAGCTTCTTCAGAGAGACGTAACACTGTTGGAACTGTTTAGCAAAGCATCCATTTGGCTCATGAGATATGACTTTATTTTTGAGTATCCACGCCCAATAATGCCAAATATGTTCTATATTGGAGGCATCAACTGTATGCAGAAGAAACAATTATCAAAGGTTAGTCATTTTTTAGGCTGAGAATTATTAGAGATTAAGAACTTTGCTTTTTTTAAAAAAAAATAATAATAATTCCTGGAGTAGTGTGTATGCTTGAGACAACATGCCATGACTTCAAAGTGGGAATCTCAGGCTCTAGCTGATTTTAAAAAAAGAAGAAGAAGAAAAAAAAAAGGCAAATTTGTTGCATTGGAAGGAGCTGAAAGGTTTCTGCCAAGGAGAGATTAGGTGACGTCAAGTTGCTGCCCATGCCTAGGTACAGCCTGACTATGCATGAAAATATTGGATACTAATGCCATATGTGCCATAACTGTATAAATGAACCAAAAAATGAAGCTGTTAGATTTAACATCCCAAATGGCTGTGAAACATAGGATAATTTTTGGGGACTTAATTGGACAACTAAGTCTATGCATATACATAGAGTGCCTTCAAGACTGAGGATGCAAATGAATACCCCAGAACTTAGCAAGGTACATAATCAAACACAGTAAAAGGGAGTTGTTTTGCCTCTCAGTCCGTGCAAGTAGCGTTGAAAGATAATTTACATGATCGGAAAAAGAAGCCTTTGGGATTTTATTTACGCCCACTGTTTGACTTAGATCTCTTCAGTGGTCTCTTTCAATAGTGCAGGTGTAAGACACAAACACCACTTTCCAGCAAAAAGCCTTGGTGGTCTGCTTTCCAGGCCACAGTGGGATTGCAACAGCAGAAATTATTGTTAAGATAGCATTAACTGCCGAACTTTGGGCTTTCTCTCTGATAGCTGGTGTAATATAGAAACAAAGCTGAAGATAAACTGTAACAACTCACAGATTATCTAGCTTCTTCACTTATCACTACTGATTCTGTCAATTGTTACCTCTTACTTAAGATAATGGCACAAAATAATCCAAAGTTCAGATTTCTGCCTGCTTTCTATCCAACAAACTGATTCAAGTCAGTAAGTTCATGATTAACTAGATATTAATACGCTCATTTTCTCCTAGTAAGATGCAACCTTCCATTCATGGTTCTGTTCAGCAATTGAACACCCTAGCATTAATTTGGACATGCAACTTTATTCTGCATTGCCCAGCTGCTTAGACCATCACTGTGCATGCAAAGGAGTAGTTCAACTTTTATTTAAACAGAAGTTAAATATTACCCTTATATCCTCTCACCAACATTCACTAAAAATTAAACATTTCCCTTTGTTAAGATCAGAGTGCAAAGTAACACACTAATTCTTTGTCCCCGCAGTAGTTTTGCAGTCACTTAAAAACTTTGCTGGCATTCTGCTGCATGAGGAAAATGGTTGCTTTGATCACAGGATTTAAATCTGTTATTGCCCGGGCTGTGTTTTTCCTGCTTTTGTGGACCTTTTCTGAAGGGGGAAAGCTCTTGGTTGTTCCTATCGATGGCAGTCACTGGCTCAGCATGCGCCCGGTCGTGGAGCGGCTCACGCAGAGAGGACATGAACTGGTGGTTCTTGCGCCAGAGATAAGTTTGCGAATAACTTCTTCGGCCCTTTACACCACAAAAACATACTCCGTGTCCTACAGCAGGGACTATGTGGAGGCAGAATTTAAAAAGATGGGCTATAAGGTTTTCACACCTCAAGCCTTCTTGGAAAAATTGCCCAGAATGACAAATATTACAGCAATGTTTTATGATTCTTGCAAACGCCTTCTGGCTGACAAACAGCTGATCAAGTACCTTGAAGAAAGCAAATTCGATGCCGTCTTTATGGATCCTTTTTTCCCGTGTGGCCAGATAGTGGCCGAATATCTCTCCGTACCTTCTGTGTACCTCCTGCGGGGACTTCCATGCAGCTTAGACTTCCATGCTACGCTCTGTCCAAATCCTCCTTCTTACGTTCCCCAGTTCTTCACCCGCTACACAGATCTCATGACGTTTCCCCAGCGCGTGCACAACTTGGTATTTAGCTTGAGCAGCTCTCTGGTTTGCTTTCTTCTTTACTCACCATACGATCGTTTGATCAAAGAGTTCCTCCAACGAGAGGTAACATTGCTTGAGCTTTTAAGCCATGCAGCCATTTGGCTCATGAAATTTGATTTTGTGTTCGAGTACCCCAGGCCTGTAATGCCCAACATGGTTTTTATTGGAGGCATAAGCTGCACTCAGGAAAGAGCATTGTCACAGGTTAGTATTTTTTTTTCCTCTCTTAATTGAGATAAGACTGCACTGTTGGCTTCTGCCATTAGATGGAGCCCAAATCAGTAACAAGTTATAGGTGAAAGAGCCGAGTGGAAATAATTAAGAAAGCATTTTGCATCCCTTGTGCAATAAGGAGAATGTTACTTCATGGGAGAGCCTCAGATTTTCACACAACACCCACAGAAAGGTGTCTGTTTTATGCTTTCAGTAATCTCATTTTGTATATCTGTTTACAAGACTTGTTAGGACTGTTCAGCCTGAGAAAGAGAAGGGCAAGGTGCTCAAGATAGACCCAATAAATGCAGATACTAACATGTAAAGCTATCAACTCTCAGGATACCTTCCTCCCCCCCCCTTCATTTTGTCTTGCCACTTCATGTTCAGAAAAGACAAATGTCATCTCTAAATCCAGATCATCTGACACGCAACAGATTTCAAAAATCAAACATGGTGTATTTACTGAGGGGCTGGTTTCTAGGCAAAATAGAAGGATGAATCTGGTCTTTAAGTGGTCTTTTTCAGTTCAACTTTAATTTCTCTTTTTCTTTTGCACAGGAAATGAAGACTTCGAACAAGCAGGACTTGCTACATAACTGTTTCTACATAATTGTTTCTAAGAAACCTTTTCCTCATGTCCATACCAAATGTTGCCTCGGCCCCCAAATCTGCAGACATTCACCATCTCAAAATGACTCATCCACTTCTCCTAATTGCTTCTCTAGGACTTATTTACATATAGATAAATAGTTATCCTGAACAGAATGTTAGTTATGCTGCCTGTCCATGGTGTTTCTTTTTTGTTGTTGTTTCTGTTTGTCGTTTATTTTTGCCCCCTTTCCAGATAGCTTGGTGGATGCACAACAGAAATTCTGACTTATGACACAGGAAGGATTTTAACTGAGGATGCTCTTTGTGTTTGCAGGAATTCGAAGCCATCGTGAACGCCTCTGGAGAGCATGGCATTGTGGTCTTCTCTCTGGGCTCCATGGTCTCCGAGATCCCAGTGCAGAGAGCCATAGAAATCACAAAAGCCTTGGGGACAGTCCCTCAGACGGTACAGTTCTACTACACCCCTTTAGCACAGCAATTCAACATTGAATTCAAATACAGTATTTCTGGCTTCTAGCATGTCCAGTCTTCCTTCTTTTCTCCTACTCCCTCTGGCAAAACAAAATGTCATCCCTGCTACAGTTGTTAGTGAAACAGGCTTTATGCATCACTGACATTTCAGTTGTTTTTTACAAGACTTGCAGAAGAACAGAAAGAGGTTGGTTGCTGAGAATTAACTTTATGTTTTTTGTCTCCTGCAAGGTCCTCTGGCGATACACAGGAGAGGTGCCCCCCAACCTGCCAAAGAACGTAAAACTAGTCAAATGGCTGCCACAGAATGATCTTCTAGGTAGGTGTGAGATGCCTTGGGTGATCTGTACATAAATCAGCATGTTTCTGTGATAAGATGGTTGTACGGCAACATTATTTGCACTGACTCCTTGCATCACAGGGGCTCCCCGAACTTCCATAGTCATTGCTGTTGAACCAGAGCTGGTCTCTCAAACTCATCTGGTTCCAATTCCAAAATTGCTAAATTACAGAAGAAAACTGGAAAAGTGTTCCCACAACTTGATTACGTTCACTGTCAAAGTCGGTCTTCATTTCTATCTAGCCTCAACGCCCAACCATGTGTTGCTGTTGTGTTGTTCTCTACTGGACTAAAGAGGGAATTTAAGTTCCCTGAGTGAGCATTTCCTGGTAGATCCTTGTGTTTATAAAGTGGTGGTGGGTGCAATATTGCCAGGAGTGCACATACTGGTTAGAAAAGAGAGAGAAAGCGATGGGGTTTGCCTGTGGGAGAGCTGCAATACCAGTGAATGGAAAGACATGATAAAACAACAACAAGCAAGAACAGTGGTAACAACCTCTTTGACTTTGCTTGAGCTGTGGTTTTGGCCTAAAACATGAGAAACTTTAGAGGATTATCCAAGGGTTTCCAAAACCATGATGCAACTCTACAATTTATGGATCATTCAGTCCTCCCCTAACAACCTGTTCTCATCAGCCCTAAGCCTGTCCAGAATTGATGACCCACCACACGCCAAAGCTCTGAATTCATACATACACCAGAGCTGTTTTTCTGCAACTTTCTCCTCGAGGATACGAAACCATGTTTAGCCATTTGGTTTGTTAAGTCAAATCTTTTTCTCCCTCCACAGCTCACCCCAAGACTCGTGCCTTCATTACCCATGGAGGCTCACACGGCATTTACGAGGGCATATGCAATGCAGTGCCAATGGTACTGATGCCTTTATTTGGAGACCAGATGGACAACGCCAAAAGAATTGAGTCACGGGGAGCAGGAGTGACATTGAATATACTTGAAATGACTTCGAAGGACATCTCCGATGCCCTGCATGCAGTCATTAATGATAAAAAGTCAGTAATAGAAGCACAACCTTTTCTTTCTAGTGTGGATTATGCTGTCAGCACTTTAACTTCCAGTTAAACAGAACACTAATAATCTCCCTTCTCATATCAAAGATGTTACAGCACAGAGGCCAGTATTTGCCCTGGGTTAGCCTCATCCAGTCATTATAACAGCACTGTCCTCACTGCCTGCTATTATTAACTTAACTAACTTTACTTCAGTGCCCCAGCCACATCATCCTCCTGAGACTCCTTCTAACCGCTTCCCCATCCCAGCTGCCTCTCTTCCGAATACCCTGAAGGTCTGCACTGTGGGCCAGCCTCAGGACCAGGACTGCCTGCCCTGCTATCTCAGTCCTCCTAGCTGGATAATGTACTGAGAGGCATGACCAGAGCAGCTTTCTGCACAGCAGCAGGAGGGACGGACAAGTAGCAAGGCCCCAGGATAGTCCAGAGGCTGCTATTGCTTCTCAAGGCATTGCCTTTCAGTTGGATACTAAACATAGCCATTATCAGGAATTAATTCTACAGACTTTTCTCTATCATTTCTTTTCCTCTAGTGCTTATAAGGAGCAGTATTTTTCATAATATGGTTCTTGGCTCAGTAAGGCTAGACAAATTCAGGACAAAGCAGAAGAATCTCCTTTATCCCAGAGATTTTGCTGACAGCTCAGACTAAGCTTCACTCCTTCTTTCTATGCCTTTTCTACTTTGTTTACTGTTGAAAACAGCACTTTTGCAGGCCCCTAGCCTTGCCATTACCTCTCTCTCCACTGGAATCACTTGACTTCTTTTCTGGGCAGGTACAAAGAGAACATCAAGCGTCTCTCAGACCTTCACCTCGACAGACCCATGCACCCTCTGGATCTGGCCGTGTACTGGGTGGAGTTTGTGATGAGGCACAAAGGGGCGCCGCATTTGAGACCTGCAGCTCACGAGCTCAACTGGATCCAGTATCATTCCCTGGATGTCATTGCCTTCCTCCTGGGCGTGGTGCTTCTCTCCCTGTTCATTTCTTTCAAGTGCTGCGTCTACTGCTTCCGGAGGTGCTTCCCTAAGAAAGGAAAGACCAGCAGACCAACCAAATCCAAAACCCACTAGCAGGTGAAACTAGTGATAGGAGTAAGGCCTCTGCTCCAATATGCAAGGACCACAGAACACCCCAAATCTCACTAACCTAATTGCTGTGTTTCAATCAAGAAATTATAGCGTTTCCATTAAACTAGTGCCATGGGGCAGGTTATTTCTCTTTTTATAATCTTTTAACAACTGATTCTTAATTAAAGGTAAAGTAATTTGTGTAGTGATGCTTCAGTCACTTGGGAAGGTATCAGTGTGAAGACCAGGACTCCTAACTTCCACTTCTTGGTGTCCTGAGGACTCGAAATGTCATATTTCTTTTTTTATACCTCCTACATGCAGGAGAGAGAAACAGGGATTTTGTAAGACGTTGCTCCAGTGGCTGTTTTAGAAACATTTGCTCTAGCACAAGAGCATTGAGTTTACCAAGCACTTTCCAAACTTTACAGAGCAGCTGTTATAAAAGAGGCAAGTGTTATAAACTGACAGTATGTGTCACATAAGACAAGCTAGACACATACCTTAAAGTGATTTTGTGCATGTTTACAATACCCTGAACTCAGTCTTAAGTTTTCAGTGCAGAAGTTGTTGTAAAGATCCTGCTGTTTTCACTCAGGTTCCCCACCAGGCAGAGGCCTGTACCTGGAGCCAATCTGTTAGGTGATGGTGATCTTCATAAGAAATGTTTTGAAAATCCTACTGATTTACTCTTTGTACACAATGTTCTGTTAAAGAACCCAAGCACCAGCCCCATAAATAAATAACCCAAAACTAACAATAATGACTTTTGTGTTTTCTTACTTGGGAGGTGTGGGGCTGGATATATGGCTGTGATGAAGACAGAGCTGGGGAAGGAGAAGACTCAATGCAGCAATGCATGACATCCTCAGCGAAAGCCATCTTAATGCAGAAAAGCTATTTCTCAACACTAAGGAACACAGAAAAATGCTTCAAACCAAAAGCAGGAACACAGGAAAGAACAGGGTTCTCCAAATGAAAATAAATTTGGGGGTATTGTAAGGAACACAATTGTCAGCTCACTATTTCAACCCCCTTAGCCTATAGATGAGCAAATAAAACAAACCAAAAAAAAAAGAAACAAACCATGAACTCCATGTGTCTTCTGAGAATACCAACCAAATAAACCTCTTAGCCTGCAAATAATTGACATTAAATGGATTGAAAGGTAAGCACAAAGGTGACAACGACTCTCTTTGGAGTATAGCACTCTCAGTTCAGCCTCTCACTTGCCAGGTCTCACCCACCTGCTAGAGGACACCAATCCCTCTATCTTCCCCTCATATCATCATTTTAGCACTTAGCCAGCATCCTCAGACTGTCCTTGAGGATGTTACTTGTAGAAAAGTACATCCAGGTCAGATCCGTGCTTCAGAAAAGACCATAAGTGGCGGCTAACATTCAGGACTCAAAATGGTTTAGAGCAATGGCATGTATCACAGCAGCCCTACTTCCAAACAGCATTCCTTTTAAGTATCTTGTGCTTTTACTTTCTATCTGCATTTGAAAGTGTAGGTAACTTAGAGAAAGCCATAAAGCTGAAGAACACTCTCCTCCTCTCACATGCACCAGCCATGCTCAGTGTGAGAGCTCTCACTCCGTGAGGGAGGTCCTGGCAATTTTAAGGTCTCTGCAGAAGCAAGGAGAGGGCAAAGGCAGTAGATGGAGCCCATCTCATCTTTCCCCACAGCAGTGCTGGGTCCTCTTGGGCATTTGTGCCACGAGCCATTTGCTAAGGACCACAAGCAATGTGTATATCCTGCTTCAATCCTGTTCCAGATCAATCTAGTGACTCTCTGAGCAGATAAGTGAAATCATCGTAATTCCAGATCTGGAAAAAGCTGGCTTGTAGATGTTTGTGGTCTCTTTATAAAAACACCAAAGTGGAGAAAAAGCAAGGATGATGCCAATGCCCATGGTTTACATTACACGATTACATTTCAGAAAGCTCTCTAATGAAGCAAAACACCACCAGAAATGAGCTATCCTCTGCTTTTCCCCTGCCTCTAAGGGAGAGGAGCAAAAAGAAAAAAAAAAAAAAAAGGGGGGGGGGGAAATCTGAAATTTTAAAAATACAAAGTCTAACAAAAAAACATTCAGTTTTAGATAAGATTTGCTATTTTTAATACTCTCAACAACTTGCTAAAAGCACCATGCACATGCCCAAGCTGAAGCAACACTCCAGCTCTGCTGCTGGAATTAGTCAGGAGAGTTTTTTGCCATCCTTCCTTACCAGGCAAGCACAGGCAGGCAATTTCCCCAATTAGACTGAGGCAGTAGTGGGAGTGATAAGTCAACCCTTCTCCAGATCCAAAGCAACCCTCCATTTCTGCTGCAACGGCAAGGAGCTTTGCTCACCGCACCAGAGCCTTCCCGGTGCTTCTGCTTTGCTCATGCTGCTGTTCCCAGCGTCTCTGGAAGTTAGTGCAACTTGCTGTTTATCCACCCAGCAAATACGGACACCAGTAAGCCCTTCATACCAAGGTCCCACCTGAGTAATAGCGAGGAAAGAAAAAGAAAATACACTCCAGCACTGCAAACCCTAGTGCAGCTCAGGGCTGCCGGCTGAGCTGCCCCCGCAACCTCTCTGAGCCCCTGCTTTTCAACCCAGAGGTGTTCGCACGCACCTTAGCTGCACCCTCAGCAGGCAAAAATGCCTTTGCTACCCATGCTTCCTGGTAGATGACAGCCTTTGCTTCCTGCTGTGTCACTAATAATAGCGAGGAAAGAAAAAGAAAATACACTCCAGCCCTGCAAACCCTAGTGCAGCTCAGGGCTGCCAGCTGAGCTGCCCCCGCAACCTCTCTGAGCCCCTGCTTTTCAACCCAGAGGTGTTCGCACGCACCTTAGCTGCATCCTCAGCAGGCAAAAATCCCTTTGCTACCCATACTTCCTAGTAGATGACAGCTTTTGCTTCCCACTGTGCCACCAGCACTGCTTTATTTTGCATTTTATATGCCTGTTTCTAAACACAGGGGCTTGCAACAATCACGCCAAAATGAACGAGTAAGAAACACGCAGACCTGGCAAGAACTAAAAAGCTGGGACACGGCCTCAGAGGGAGGACATACCATCCGCCTTTCTCTCGCCTCTTCCCCTCAACCAGACCGCAGGAAATGGCAGGAATTGCTGACATTTTTCTGCAGCAGCCACACTGGTGACGGGGCCAGTTCTCCTTCCTGCTCGCCTCTGGGATCCGGTCCCCAAGGGAAGGAGCAAGGCATCTCCCAGCACTGCTGAGGGTGGCTCTCAGGCTCTTTCCTGGCTCTGTCCAGGCCCTGGTGGCCCACATGGAACAGAGCTCAGGGAATTCACCATGTGTACATTCCCGATTCCCACGACCAGATCGAAGCCTCAGCTCAGAAGCAGCCCCCAGCCCAGCTCCTGTCACTAGAACAAAAGTCGCTCCACAGCCGCCCAGCCTGCAACCCACCATGCTCCATTTGCTGCCAAAAATGGAGATTTGGGAACTTCAGGCACTTGAGGAGGGAGAACCCACAGCTGAAAACCCATTTCTACTTCAAAACGTTAATTGCTTTTGCTGCAAGGTGGATTCCTCGGGCCAGAGACCTGTGAACAAGCTTCCAGCACAAACGGCTTCATCCTGGTGTTCCTCTCAGATGCTTACTAATATTTATTAATTATTAATGCTTTGCTATATTTAACTTGTTTTCTAAAACCTACAGTTTTGGGTGACTTCCTTGGAAAAAAAAAAAAGAAACAAACAAACAAAACCAAAAAGAAACATCCACTTCTGCTAGAAACCAGGGCTGAGAGTCTGCAACTCCACGTCCGGGAGCTTTGCATGAGCTCCCAGACCCTCCGCCAATCTTGCCTTACATGGCAGGACTCCTCATCTGCCCTGCTCCAGCTCCACTTTAGACTGTGCTTGCTGCCAGATTCCGGGATACAGCACCTTGGGATACAGCTTTGGACACCAAACCTCCCAGCCAGCCCAGGGGATCAGAGTCCCACTGCTGTGATGGGCAACATGGTGGTGCTCGTCCCAGCCACAATGCTGGAGAGCTCTCAAATCAGACAATTTCAGCTGGAGTGGCCATGCAAATCTCCAATTAATTATCACCCACAGACATGTTTTTAGGAGTTATTTATAGGCAAGTGATTGCACAAAGTGAACCAGTCACAAAATTAAGATCATCATCTTCCTCTGAGGGGGAGGAATTCACCCTACCAAATCCAACTCCAAGGAAGTTTAGGCCTGATCTTCATGCCTCAGTTTACCCATCTTAGAATTGCAAGGGTAGCAAAGATGTGCTTGGCAATAAACAGATTGAAGAGAGCCATACATAAATGGGGAGCTGCCACTGCCTGCCTGGCACCATTCAGCTGTGCTAGCGTGGGCTGCACGCACCCAAACAGGCTTACAGAGGAAAGAGAAGATCAAATCTCCATCTAGAGATTTTTTTTTTCCAATCATTGTTTGAGCCAGTTTAGGACACGGGTATTTCTGAGAGAGGAGATGCCGACTCAGGGCTCATCTTTCACACATTGGATGCCTGCTACCAGGCCTAAGGCAGCTGCACAGGGATCAAACACAGCTTACATCAAGCAGACAGAGAAAAGGTTGCCGTTGCATTATTTTCTTTTGATAGGTATTAGCAAGTGCTCCCCGTACCAATTCCCTTTCTATTAAGGAAAGGAGGAAAGTCTCATATGTAGAATCTGATCATTCAGGCTGATAAAAACAAGTCATCAGCCTAGCCCATTCAAACACCATCAAATCCTAACCCCCTCCAGCTAGATATTGGCTGGCTTATCTATCACCTTAACCCTCCTCAAAAACTAGCTGAAGCAAACAGAGCTGGCAGATTTCTTCCCTTAAAGGCAGCAAACCTAGGTAATTTGAGGACACACAGACTGTGGAGTGCAGGTTTTTCCCACCTGCCTTCTCCAGCCCATCAACACACCTCATCTCCTCGCAAAGTTGAGCAGACCATCATTTTCCTGCTGTGGCACATGGGATTTCATCCTGATGGAGGCAAGACTGGTGCCAGACGGCCCT